GATTTCAATATTTTTACGCAGTCGTCGACATCTCTTATACCGATAGCTTTCAAGTCATCCATTGTCAAAGTTGAAAATACATCCAAATCGAGTATTTCCTCCCGTTTAAAAATTGTCCAATATTTTTGCATTCCAACGCGCAATAAGAGCTCATAGATTGAGGGGTTTTTCATAGGTGACAAATTATCCCACATCCACTTGAAAACAGTGGACATAGTCGCGTCTGATTCGACGCACGAATTATCATCCAACACCAGTTTGGGTGGCTTACGACAACGATTTCCCAAACCCGATGCACGCGAGCTTGAAGTTGCGCTCGAATTTGAGGCAAAGGAAATATTGGAGTCGCTGGAAATGTCGGAATTTGACGCTCTTGAATCATTGACTGAACATTGTCTACTGCTTTTGTTGTGAGTGTTATTTCTCATTGAATTTCTGGGACTTAGCTGGTAGTTGGAAGATTTTGCATCGTAAATGGATTCCTCAAAAGCTGACGTGTTCGAATTTATGGAGTTCCGATGGCATTTTGATGAATTTGTCATTGATGAAAATGTCGGCTTTAGCTCATTAGTACTCAGACTGGCATCAGTCGTGCTAATATCTGATTCACTGCCAAAAGACTTGACTGGAATATCCGATTTTTTTGTTGAAACGAATCTCGGCGAAAGTTTCCTTGTTTTAATTGTTCTCTCCGATATGACATTATTCGTATATTTCCTTGGATTAACGCATATTACACCGCCATTCAGTCCAGCTGGAGAGGTTTTGGTAGTTACTTCAAACCGTCGCGCTTCGATGGCTTGAATGTATGGCTTAAGCGAGTCATCACCACCCAGGTTAAAACTGAATTCAGTATTTGATGCAAGCGGTGTAAGTGGAGTGAGTGGTGATTTTGGATCTGTGAATAATCAAGTATCAAATCAAAGCATTAAGAGTAAATCACACACAAAACAACTTGCCACGATATGCGCGCCTAAATGAATTCATATTTTCTTAACAACAATTATTAAAATCTAAACACAAATCGGGACGTTAGACATCGGTGGTGATTAAATAAAAACTGTAGACGAGTACACTTGCATGCTTCAAGCAGTATGCTAAGACAAAAACAACAAAGCACCGCCTTGGAAATTAACCGTAGCTCATGCAGCGAGAAATTGGAGTACAGCATTAAAATAGCGAGTAAGTCCGTACAGCCTTCAAAAAACAGTTAGCATGAAATGAGAAGTTGATCTTTCTGAATCTTTGTTTTACCTAAATTTATATGAAACAATTTATTTAGTAAATAAACCATTTTCCAAATGTTTAACTCTCTTCAACGGATACCAACAAGTTGATCGCCGGAAATAAAAACGGCTTGTACTTTCTTTCGATTTCCCTCTTTCAGAACCCCTTTTGAGGGTTTCTCGTAATCAGCTGATGCGCTATTGTGATCGGACTTTTGTCGTCAACTTGTTTTTTGCGCGTTTGTTTTTCAACATTTTTTTATTTTATTTATAGCGATTACCCGATAAAGAAACGAATATACGAAAACAATTTGCAACAGCTTCCATATTACAAGCCGCAAAAGATATATAAGAAAACAGCAGCAGTAAATTTGCTCTGCAGTGAAAAATTTCGTGGTAAGGAAGTTGTAAAAGATCTCAGGGAAAAGTTTTCCCAGATGTATAGTACCTTTATTTTTGCATATTTTTTTTTTTACTGATAGGTACAGTGAGTTAGCCAAGCGTGAAAAATTTTGCGAGTGTTAGATAATTGCTAAGAAGGCGAGGAATAGGCGCTTACAAGGGCATTCATATTCAATGTGTATGATACGCCGTCGTGTGCGGTACAAAAATTTAACGATTTTTGCCAAAAATTAGGAAGTGGTGAGTGCTTATTACATTTTGTATAATATAGGTATGTACATAGATACTACATTGCGAAAAATATATGTAAGCTATTTTTTCATATTCTTGTTTTCTGCTTCTGCGACGTAATTCTACGCCCAGCTGTCTCAATCAACAGAAACAAACACAAACAAAAACGCTCCTGATCTGTTGTCACAAGCAACCGAGAAACTGTGCGAAACAAGCAGCTGCGGGTTTGCGGACGTCTCAGAGTTTTTCATTTTGCTGGGCATAGCCGTATAAGCAAAGGACGCCAAGGATGTCTGTGCGCCTACTAACCTTGCGACTGGCTAGACATGGTCGTTATTTCCTACAAGGCTTCTGGAGACGTGATATACACAACAACATTTTGGAACAAAGCCGAGAAAAGACGCGCCGGAGCTTACCCAACCCTTTGAGGGTATGTTAAGTTAAATATAAATAAAATAAGTAAAATAGCAAATATTTTTTTGTTTCCCCTAACATTGCCAGCCCGGCGCTACCAGCGTTGCCGCCTCCGCCAAACCCCCTGCAGTTAAAGGCGTTCTGAATGGCGTTACCAATGCTAGCTCTAGTGTTGCATCAAAGTCCCTACCTCGAACCGGAATCTTAAGCGTCGGACAACATGCGCGTAAAGTGTTCATTGATAATATCTTAAATCGGGTGACAACAAACTACTCTCACGATTTGCGTACACAAGCAACTAAAAAGTTGTTCTATGGAGATTCCGCACCTTTTTTCGCCCTAGTAGGCGTAAGTTTGGCCTCTGGTGCAGGTGTTTTGACGAAAGATGATGAATTGGAGGGCGTTTGTTGGGAGATACGAGAAGCTGCTGGCCGCCTGCAGTCATCATGGAATTATGACGAAATATCTGAAACGCTAAATAGTGACTTTAGCATCGATAAATTGGACGTTGGGCCAGCTATTGCTAAAGGCTGTGCCGCCGTAGTCTATTCGGCAGCGTTTAAAAACGAGACCAGTGCCTCTGGCACCACGGAGATACCTGCTTTGGATGCAACTCATGATGCCGAAGCTGCTGCAGCTATGGCTCGTGGCAGTGCAACGACTCCACTACGACAGCAATCCTTCTACCCAGAGCTGATGTCACCAATGCAGAATATGTCACGTTTTGTACACAATTTCGGCAGTTCTATGGATAACTTGAATGAATTGTATAATCAAAACTCGGCTGCAGCCGCGTTTGTTGCTGAGCGTAGGGCACATTGCGCAGCCGATGTGCAAGAAGAGAATATTCAGAAATTGGAAGGTGATTTCAATAATGACGTTAATGCGGGTTTCTCAGGCATCAGCAGCGGAATGCAGGGACTGGTATGTATCATTAGCGCTTTGTAAATAAAGTCTTATAAATACATGCATGCTTTGTTTTTATTACAGCAATCCATAGACACTCCTCATGCCAGTATTAATCGCTATCCGCTCGCCTTGAAAATGATGTTCAACTATGACATACAGAGTAATGCTCTCTCCATACTGCGCGCTATGTACAAGGAAACTGTGCCTGCACGTGCCCGTCGCATGAACGACTGTGCTGAAGAGTGGGAGCGTTTATTGCGAAATCAAACCCTAACTCTGCCACCTCATCCGAATATAGTTTGCATGTTTGGTTTCTTTTGTGACGAGGTGCGTAATTTCCCCGACGGCCATTTACTTTACCCCATTGCGCAGCCCCAACGCATCAATCCACACGGCTATGGACGCAATATGTCACTATACCTATTGATGAAACGTTATGACTATAGCTTGCGTGCGCTTCTCGATTCACACAAACTGAGCGCGCGTGCCAAACTATTGCTACTGGCACAATTGCTTGAAGCCACGGCACATATTAATCGTCATGGCATTGCACATCGGGACCTTAAATCAGATAACATTCTTATTGAAATGAACGACGATGATTCTCCACCAGTATTGGTACTCTCGGACTTTGGTTGTTGCTTGGCCGATAAGGTACATGGCTTGCAGATACCCTTTACCTCGTACGATATAGATAAGGGCGGGAATGCAGCGCTAATGGCGCCAGAGATCATTAATAAGCAACCGGGTCCATTTGCTGTATTAAACTATGCTAAAGCGGATTTGTGGGCATGTGGCGCGATAGCTTATGAAATATTTGGGCAACGCAATCCTTTCTATTCGTGCAGCGGTGGTTTGGCTTTGGCAAATGGCGAACAAACGCTTTCGCTACGCAACAGTGATTATAAAGAGGAAGATCTGCCGCCGCTTAGCGACGAATGTCCAGCGATAGTTCAACAATTGATATATAATATACTAAATCCGAGCCCTTCCAAACGTGTGAGCCCTGATATTGCAGCGAATGTGATGCAACTGTTTTTGTGGGCCCCATCCAAATGGTTGCGGGCTGGAGGTATGCCCAACAGTCCGGAGGTATGTACAATTTGCTGACTATAAAATGAAGCGTAGTGAGAATATTAGGCCTATTCTAAATTCTTTTTATTTTCTACAGATCCTCCAATGGCTACTTTCGCTCACAACGAAAGTAATGTGTGAGGGTCGCGCTGCTGTCGATCAACTAAGCTTCAATGCGAGTGGTCGCCGTACTTATGTAGAATATTTGTTGATTTGCAGTTTCTTGGCACGTGCACGCCTCCGACGCATACGCGGCGCACTTAACTGGATACAAGACATAGTAGTAGCTTAAGCAAAAGCTTACAACTCAACAATACTAACTTATAACTTGGGAGCCCATTACCTAATGTTAGCACTATTCAACCCGTATTCTAGCATTACAGCGATATTAAGCAGGAAAATTTACATGGAATTAAACAAACTTCATGCGGGAAAATACGATTATTGTATGATGGATAATTCCTATCAGAGAAACTAGCACAGTATGCACATATATGTATGTTAAAATGTAACTAAAAATGACTATTTGTTATTAGCTATTGGAAAAATTGGCATAGTTTTTTATACGTTTAAATTATGTATTTGTATTCTTAAAAAATTGTAATTCAAAAACTTAAATATTTTGCTTAACAATCTATATAAATTTATGATAAAAATTTAAATTAAAATTAGCAGAAATAATAACAATGAAGCACCACAACACTATAAAATCAGTTATTTACTTAATTAGTCAAAAGAGGCAATATAAGTTAAACCTTTAATGACTGGAAAACCCATAACGCAAATTGATGTAGAACGACGTATTAGTAGTGTAAAACAACTGGCCTTTTGGCTCATGTTGTTGGAAAACCCTAAAATGTTCTTCAAAAATTCTTGCTACGAGTTGTTGTAACAGCATACAAATTTCCCAAAGAGTTTTTGGGAAATGATATTGGAGTGACAGTCCTTGGTCAGAAAAAAATCTGGTTCGTTCCGGTTACCATAGATTCGACTGTCGTGGGAACGTAACTCCTTTGTGTAACGCTCGAATTGTTCGAGATCTAGCGTTTTGATTTGCGTAAAATGAAACAACCAAAGATCATTCTCTAGAAAGGCCTATGTAACCGGAACGGAACAGATTTATGTATGTACATATGTACGGAAACATTTCGATGAAAATTTCTTGGTATTTCTTGCATTTTCCCGAGTTATGTATGAAATTAACAGCCTCATTGCGTAAGTCGTAAATTAGGCTAAATTGTACGACTCGACAACAGTAGCATTGTCTATTGTCGTACTGAAATAAGTAAACGACCAAAATCGTCGAAAACTATACAGTGCTGCCAAGTTTTTCCGTTTTAATACACTAGTCGAGTGGAAATTTTAGGCAATGACATGAACTTTTCGATACGATTCGACTCTCGAAAAACGACTTGCATTCGACACGACTCTCGCAATGAGGGTGTAAAACAAGTAATTTTTTAGCAAAAAATAAAACAGACTTCAGTTCTCATGTAAAAGTTTAAGAGTACCGCTAATTTCTTCATGATCGGATCTAAACCAAATTAGTATGGGACCACCAGTGAGGTACTATCTTTCCTTTAAACAAAATTATAGAAATCGATTAACGTGATAAAAAGTTATGTGGTAATATACATAAAAAAAAATATTCCGACGAATTGATATCTAACCTCATCCTTTTTTTGAAGTCGCTTAAAAAAATGGATTATTGTGGTTTTGGTGGTTGAGGTGGTTGAATGAACTATATATTTATAAAAAAAAAATAAGAAAAATTTGGTAGGGAAAATACAAACAAGGACTCGCTCACTTCCTAAAACGCGGGTAAATTTATATACTGTTACAAAAATAACAATTTGCTTTATGTTTATGCATGTATGAATAGTATTTACAAATAGCCGTCATCGATTCGCCAACAGCGAGTGGCGAAACGAACGAACTCAATGAGGTACAACCAAACTCGCTATCGTCTATCCGTGCTAGCTAACTTTGTTGTTGCTTTCGCATGCAAAATTCTTCTTTAAGCGACCGGAACTGCTATTACTGCAGAGTTTTAAGCATTTCTGCATTAACCCTGCAAAAATCGTTGGACCATGTAGTCTATTTGTGGTAAATTGGAGTACTTACAAAAGTGTTCCTCTGTCATGCTGTAGCGGACCAACTCGTGTCTCTGCGCCAGCTTATTGTTTGTTATCCGATAACTACTCGTGTTTTAACGAAATGTGATTGAAGTTGAGCATTTGAAAGCACATTTGCATGTCTGGCTGTAGCTGAACGTGTAGAGATGCTCGCTGTTAGTTCTTAGCTCCCAGCATGTTCGGGTTCGAATGCCGTCAGAGGCAACATGTAATTTTTAATTTTTCTCTTGGTTTTTATTAATTTCGAAAAAGCATTTGAGAAGTGAAGAACAAAAGCGTGTACAAACGAAAAAATATAACAACAATGCCATTGTTAATATGTTGGACTAGTTTTGTGCTACTCTGATGTAATGCAGGGATGGAGTATATGGTCCTGCCCTAGGACATCGCAATGTTAATTGGACCATATTTTTTATATGAATTGTGGTTAATTTAGGAATACTCTTTAGGGAGTACTCTTTACACGCATGCATGGAGTATTCGCGATTTTTGCAGGGAAATTTCATTTCACTGTCACAGCCGGTCTGGCTATCGCTTGAAATTATAACGTATCCGTATCCTACCCCTCAAATCAAATTTCCTTCCAACTTAGAATTTGCAACCCTGTTACCTCTGCGGCTCAGCTGTTTTTACATGCATTCGACATCAAGCAGTCACAATAAAATAAACCGGTGCAACAACGTCTATAAAAATCAGGGCAGCGCGCATAAAAATGTAATAATTTATTTAGAAACAAAAATGTTATATTAAGAAATTGCTAGCCGTATATATACATGTATGCATGTATGTACATGCATTTCTTTTCGTTTATCACTCATTCCGTAGTGGATTGCTACACTTACTACTAAGTACATACTTAATCCCTTTATCGCCAAGTGATTCCTTATATTCTTTATCAGTGAACGTGTAAAAATCAAAAAGAAAAACGCGCTGTTCTATTAAAAATACTCAAATGGTAAACCAAAAACTATTTTAAGTTCCTCGCTTATCAGTGGCTATGTATGACGTCTGTTGTTTGGCATCTGTTATCAAATGAATTCGTGCATATTAACATATGCCATTGAGTGTTGATTTTGTGAGCGCTTTGTTTGGGTTTGGTGAGTGGGTTGTTCTATTTCTGCTTTTTATTTCTTCTCGCGATTTCCGAAAATGGTGAAGGAAGTGAGGGACAGGGAAAAATGGCGTATGTATCATGTTATGTGATGTTATTGATGCCGGCCTATGTATCAGTTTAAGCATTTGCCCTATGACCAGAATCTACTAAAACAAAAACAACTAGACGCAACGCTGATTTGATATTTACATGAAATCTTATGCTTAAAATTATCAGCAAGATTATTAAACGATTTAACAATGTAAAATTGATAAGGCAAACATTGTTCAAATTACATTTTTAAGTGTTTTTAGAAAGATTACACCATAGAGACTATTACAGAAACAATTCCCAAGAAATGTAAGGCTAATCAACATTTGTAGAGACCACAAACAATCTTTATTTTACTTTGTAATGCCACCACAATAGGTACACAATTTGATAAAGCTTTAAAAACTGCCGGTAAAAATTGGGATATCATCAACGAAACTTTGGTCACATTTTATTCTTTCCATAAGGCTCTTTCAAACCTTCCGTACAACGATAAGGGAATAATCAGGCAATAATACTTCAATCATAAGTATGATCATTAAACATATAACTAAGACGTATCGCATTGTTTTATTTTACCTGATATGATATAAGAAGTTCATTACCGTTCGAACACTACTTTACATGTTTGATATCAAGTTCGCTACTAGCTGTACTCTCAAACCACATGTATGTACATTAGACTGCATCACCAAAAAAAGTTGCGGTTTTTCCGCCGGGATTACAAAATTTATTATATTTTAAGCCGTCCACCAAAATATTTCGGAAAAATATTAAGATTTAAGTGAGCTGGACCGATTTGAAAATACCTCCAAAAATGTAGTTTTTTATGAATAAAAATAGTTTCTTAAAGAACTTTTTGAAAAAAGTCCCCTCAGATGACAAAATAGATTAAGCTTAAAAAATTTGCATAAAAATATTAAAAAATCTTTTAAACGGAATCGTAAGAATGAGATTTTTGATGCTGTTTTTTTTACTTTTTTCAAAGATTGATTGAATTGAAAAGTCATTCGTGACCCAATATTTTTTTTTCAAATACCAACACATCTTAATTCAACTTTGAATGACGTTCCTTCATCCTACCTTTCCCTTTCATCCTTTTAATGAGTTTATTAGCAAAGAAATAAAAAGGTAGAGAAAATACCCTTCTAATGACACCTCCTAAGTCTAAATCGGAAGAGTTTAGTTTCAGTTATTCAAGTTTTTGTTATACCAATCTTTAAAAAAAGTTAAAAAACAGAACAAAAATCTCATCATTACGATTCCGTTCAAAATTTTTTTTAATTTTTTTTAAATATTTATCTGCAAATTTTTTAAGGTTAAGACGTTTTGTCATTTGAGGAGATTTTTTCAAAAAAAGTCTTTAAGAAACTATTTTTATTCATAAAAAACTCCATTTTTGGAGGTATTTTCAAATCGGTCCAGCTCACTTAAATCTTAATATTTTTCCGAAATATTTTGGTGGACGTCTTAAAATATAATAGATTTTATAATTCCAATGGAAAAATAGTAGCGATTTTTTTTTGTATGGGGAGTGATTCAGTCTAATGTACATATGTATGTACATATATATGTAAAATGTATGCGCGTGAATACGTTCCCACAAATCGTAAAAGTCAGAGCAACTTTAGTATAAACCACTTGGCCGTACAAGTTAGCCAGGTTCGTTGCTCATACTTGTTTTGGCGTTCACGCTTGTTGGACGTACAGAAGTACGCGCATACATATGTACATACAAGCAAATATTTATAAATTTGCCAACAAATTTCATAATATCAACACAATATAAAAAGGAGTACTTACCGACTGTAATTAAAAGGAGTGTGTCTAATTAAACTCGCTGAAGCAACTATACATACTTATTATACATACATACAACTACAAAAAAATAAGTACAAACAAGGCTAGTGTAATAAGAGTTGCAAAAACAAAAAGATTAAAAAACAAAATCAAATAAACACAACAAAGTGAATGATTGCTGCTGTGGGGAAAACCTGTGCACTACATTCGCTACTTTGCGTGTCTCGTACGTTTGCTCATTCAACGAGTGTGAAGTGAAGTGAAGCTTTATTAAGCAAAATATGTTTGAGCGCATATGTATCTACATAAATGCATAAACTATAAGACCATCAAATTATAGACATACCTACTATGCACATATTTTTAGTGTTCAATTAACAGCCACGAAAACTGCATTTAATTATTTTTTTATGACGTTTCGCTTAAACGCGTTAAAATAATCCCCTTCACCGTTTTTGCACGCATTCGTCATACCTGCATACATACATACATACATAAATATTTATATGTACATGCATACATACTAAAAATCCAAAGCTATAGTTTTAGTTTCAAATAGTTAAAAATGATTTAACTTGACTTTGAAGCGCAGTAAATACTCAATTGTAATGGTGAGGCAACAGTGAAGTGTTAATAGTGTTACCTACATATGTACATACAAAAATTTTAATGCATGCATGTATGGGAAAATATATATTTTTTAAAATGTATTTATCCGTTTTACCTAAAATACATATTCACTAAATACCCATAACACTCTTATACTCTTTCTTACGATACAATAAACTTCACATTTCATCCGTTTCGCCTCGCTTAACCTAAATTACATCGCATATCGATCCTGCCCTCCTGGCATTCCATCACAAACACTCGTCGCACACACAGGAGTTTATTAACGCGTCGCTGCTCCAACATTTTATCGACAAAGTTATTGGTGCAACAACAACGCTACTACCACCCCATTAATAAACTGCTCAACGCCTATAGAAGTCCACTGAACAATTCGTCGACATTCCATCAGCGGCATTGGAGCAAAGGCAGTAATAGCAGCCAGTTAAGGTAAGTAGAAAAGCGAAGGTCACTAAAGCCTTGTTTTCACTATGTCAAATTCAATAACATTTGTCATCAAATAAATGAAAACACATTGTCAATTGGGATCAAAAACGGTATATCGATTGATTTAGATCAGGATAGGTCTTCAGTCGTGTACATGCGCTGCTGAACCAGCTATATGTCCGTTTTTGGCCCATAATATTATCAGCGAAGGTACGGATGAAAGAGATAAGCTTGTGTCAAAATATGTCGACAAATTTTGACGTCAAAATATGACATAGTGAAAACCAGCCTTAAGGTTAGGCATTACTTACTGTTTAGTACTTTTTGTTGTTTCGGTTATTTATTTGTGTTGCCGCATTAAACACCACACTTCCTTTCGCACAATCAACAGGTTTTACCACGCAACAAAAAGGCAGCAAATACAGCAAAAACAAAAAACCGTGCGTATAAATCGTTTGCTAGAGTTTAGAACGCCAACAGCTTTTATAATGGGCTCAGCAAATTGTAAAGAAAATTCATCAAAAATCTCAATCAAAAATGAGAAGGCAGCAGCAGCGAAGGGCCAGAATGGTGAGTAATGTACCTTATTATGGCGGTTTCGTTTCTACAAAAAAGGTGGCCTTCTCATCGCTCTCTTCTTAGTGTTTGTACGTAGAGGGCAAAGAGAAGGTTGCATTTTTCAGTAGAAACGAAATCGGCATTAGTCAGTTTTTTTTTTTATTCGTGTGTGTTTAATATCTGCCTTTTGCGAAGTCTCATAAATGTTTTTTTATACATACATACATATGTACATATGTATAAGCGATGTTAATTTTTTTCAAATTTTTGCGATACCGGGATTTTCGGGATATCGTTTATAAAATCCCTGGATTCCGGGATTTGGACATTTATTATATTTCAACAACTTAACCCGAAAAAATTGCATCAATATAGTTTGAGTAGTTCTTCCACCATATAAAAAATAATAAATAAATGGGTTTGAAACCTACTTTTTTGTTTAAAGTGTAAAATATTTCATCAGTCACAAAACAAAAGGTAGTAATTAAGTTTATACGCATTTAATAATACTTTAGCGTGTACATATCTGATAAAGTAACTTAAGATATCTCGAAAAAAGCTCGATGCAAAACCAAAAAATTAAGTAAAAAAATATATTGTGTGTTTGAAAGGAATTCATAATAGTAGTGGCAGAAATTAAAGAAACGCATTATTCCAACCAGCTGCGTCTATGTTTCTTTTGTTTATTTAATATTTAAATATTTTATAAAAGTCTACCTCATTTTAGATATAATTAACTGTATATAAATACGCATTTCAAAATTTTTACAAAAATTATAAAAAATGCAAAATAAAACCATCATTTTAAACTTTTTACTCAAAATTTTTAAAGAAATTTTAGGTACGCAGTTTTTTAGCCCATTAAATTATAGTAGGATAAAATTCAATTTCAAGCAGCTTGACCCTTGATTTTTGGGGATTTTTTTTACGTTGCTGGCCATTTCTTCATAATTGTCATTGTCGATCATAATTTGTATGGAAGAAAATTCGTGTCACTGCCAGTAAAAAAAAAACAAAAAAAATCAACGGTATTTTAGCCACTTGAAATGTGAACTCTATCGTCCGCCCTGAAATTAAATGGGCTACAAAATTGCGTACCTAGAATTTTTCTAAAAATTCTGAGTAAACAGTTTCAAAACACACCAAGCAATCTATATACTCACGACACTATGAACCAAATATAGTGAAACTACGTCTTTAGTTTTAGCATTTTTTTTAAATGACTTTATAATTTCAAGGATATGACAAACTCCAAAAATTATTTAAAAAATTCAGTGCAATGTAAAATAAAAGTGGGTACCAAATGAAAAAGAAAATTCTGTAGAATTAAAGAAATAAAATAAGTAAATAAAATTTCTTGGGTTCACAAGGACGAATGGGTATTGAAAATGCCTTTTTAATTAATTTTATTTTTTTAAGCTAATAGGTTGAGAAGGGCTTTATTCGAGGATGTTGTCGAGGTTATATAAGTCCTTAACATAAAAATGTTGCAAAATAAATGTTACAAAATTTCAAGGATATTCAAGGATAAACCTTAAAAAAGACATTGTAATACCTTATGCACCAAGAAATATAATCTCTTTTCTCTACAGAACTTTCTCTTTAATTTCTTTCTGAATTACTTACATTATTGAATTTTCAAAGTCCTTTTAAAACATCCTGACGTCAGATAGAAAAACTAAAAACGCAATTTTACTGCATTTGTTCGGCCCATAGTTTCGCGAATATATTGATTTTTTTGTGCGTAAAGTTGCCTGTCGCACGGTGTTATGTGCACGTATAATGAGCTAGACATTTATAAAAAATATTTAATATTAAATAAACAAAATAAATATAGCAAAAACTGGTCAACATAAGTCGTTTCTATTATTGCCATCAGTGCAAATTATAAATCCCGAAAATCCTGGAATCCTTGGCTTAACATCCTGTTAATTTTCGGGTATGAAAACCGTTTTTTTTACGTTTTTGGATATGTGCAAATGAACAAAAATTGTAGTCGCTTTCCGTTCATTTCCGGATACGGAAAATTGTACGAAACTGCACTGTCGGCAAATTTTACGTTTCTCTGCTGACTGGGAAGGTATTTTTTTCATCGCCTTTCAAATTGACGTGGCAATATCCCTGACTACTGACAATGAAAAGTTTGTCAAGTAAAAATAAAATGGAAATTTATTTAACACGGTTGTTTTCAGTAAACCTTATAAATTATCGTTTGCTTTTTTCCACTATTTTCATTTTTGTTATGCCAACACAGGCGTACTTAGCACGGTGCATAGGCAACTGGCTGAGTCAGTGGGATCGTCGGTTCGAATCCTACTGAAAGAAGTCTGATGAGGAAATGTGGTGATTTCCGAAATAGCTATCACTACTACCATTTTTCAAATTATTGTTGCTTTTCCACAATAAAAATTTTCATTTAAAAAAAACGGCCTCGAGCTCAATATAAATTGTTGAATACAACAGACTTCAATTAAAGGGAATACTCCGTGTCCATGTGAAGTAAATTTTAAGGACTGTACAGTTATTTTTTTACAATGAAACACTGAAAAATCGACCCAAAAGGTATACATAAATTACGTTGCCACAATTTATGTTTGCATACGAAAAAAATAAAACACTACGCAAATACAAAACTCTGGTATGCTGATAGGCGCTGTCAATGCTCTTTCTCCAGTTTGCTTTCGCTAACAGTTCTAAAGTCAGTCAGCTGTGGAATTTTTCTCGAATACCTTTATTTTCTGCCTCACAAAAACAAAATTTATAAAATCGAATTATTTTTGTAATTTTTTCAACAAAAACCAAGTCAATAGCAAGCAGTCCAACGAGGTAATTAAATAATAAATAAGAATCATAAATACACATTGCAAGTCCGCATATAAAATTAACAAATTTTGTAATGTGCAGTGTAGCGAGAAAACAGAAAAAACAAACTAAAATTGACACATGGGATGGAGCAACGTCACGTATTAAAAAAAAAAACACAAAACAGCGCATAAAACGTCGAATAGAATGGCGCAATAAATTGCAATAAAACAATCGTAGAATTGTTGCGGTTATTGGTTTTGCTTTATCGCTTGTACAAGCGCTTAATTAATTTTTCATTTTCTATTTTTTATAACTAAAGTATTGTGTGTTATCTTGCCACTTTTTGCCAAGTAAATATCGCACAAGGTTATTGAAACGTGAATGGTAATTGTTTTAACAAACGAAATTCGCCGGCTCGCTGGCTGGCTGGCTGCCTTTGATTTGTTGGTAGGGGCGTATGAGTAATGCAGCTGGTTGTCGTGTTAGTGCAGTGCTGCAAATTGAAAAATGAAAAACTGCAGACTGAAATTTAGAAAATAAAATAAAACAAAAGTAAATAAAGTGAAAAAAATAAAAAATAAAATAAATGAAATAAGATTAAATAAAGTAAAATAAATAAAAATATAATAAAATAAAACAAAACAAAATGTACATACATATAAAACAAGTAATTGTTAAGCAAAAACACATACGTCTTCAATTCAATATAAAACTTTGGGAGTACCGATAAATTCTTCATAATGCAATAATTGGATGTAAACCAAATTAGTATGGGACCACTCTTGCAGTACCACCATTTCGATAAAATAATAATAATTATTGAAATCAGTTCAAGTGGACCAAAGTTATTCGGTAACATACAAAAAAAAGGAATATTGCTCTTTATGAAGTGGGTTATTGGCCTAAAAATGCAATATCTGTATATTTTCGGCAGTGAAAATGACTAATCGAGTTTTCGGCGTGTTTTCAAAAAATCCGAATCACTAGGAGAATCCATAACAAAACCCAGTTTATTCGTCACATGCAAACCAAACACGCAATGCGATAACACGCTCGTTAATACATATTAATTTATGATCAGAAGTACATATCGCTCATTTTCTTTAATAGTGTCAAAACTCGAGATAAACGACTTTAAAGTTCTGAATTTACATATGTACATATATCCCCATAGTAAAAATTATAACATATTTTGTTCTAGTGAGATATTTGTAATCGATAGAGCTGTGAAATGTTTACACAACATACTAGAAGAAGAAGTGGCGGTAATTTCTGCGTGGCGGTAATTTTTTTGTATTTTTTTGGATTATGGCATCATTGAAGTTAATGAGCGCTATGTACATATGTACATATGTATGTAGGTACATTAGTAGGTCGCCCTCTGCTTATTTGGCCGCACAATAAACCAACAAAAATAATGACGTAATCATGTCCAAAGAATACTTGTAATGCTGATAAACCGGTATTTACTTTGACGCTCCGGGGTCGGTGAGACATTTTAAGATAATAATTGTACTAAATATATTCAGTTCTTAAGATCACTTGGTGCTGAGAAGTTGTGAAAGTGGAGAAAAGTAATGATTTTTTCTGGTATGTTTTCCGTAAATTAGCTTGTGGTTCAAACTGTTTCCTATAAGAGAGTGAGGGCAATGTTAAAATAAAAAATAAAATCCAAATATATCGGGTATGTTAATGCTTAAAAAATGTGACCGTTTAATCTGTGAACTTCAATGAGCCAATGAATGTTTCCTTTCACTTTTTGCCATTAAATTTGTAACAAAAAACTTTACAAGTCGAAATGCGCCATTGTTAATGCTTTTATTATGCCAATTGTTAAGATTTTATGAGGTGTAATCACATACACCATACATACATATGTATGTACATATGTACATACATTTCAATGCACATTAGGGTTACCCTTAATTATATGGAGAAAAATAAAAGAATTTGGATTCTCAATCCCATATAAATGTGCGAATAGCCTGAAGATTTAACCATACAAAGTTTTAGGTTAGTCAAAAACGATTTAATAGTAACTCAAATCGCTCAAAATTTTCCGTGTATTTTATATGAGGAATAAACAATTTTTCGTTGAAATGGTATAGAATTATAGAAAATCAATATTTTTCGATAAGAAAATTATTTTTCTTTTCATGAGACTTCCAATTATAATAACAAATTTTTTGTTTCTTTTTTTTTTTACTTTTTATTCGTTTATTAACTTTTTCTCTTTTGATATGATATAGTTTGTAAGTGTTGCCTAATGTTATTTGTCAGGCTAAGTTTGATGTACTACGTACTGTTTACCTGTTAAACCGCATGTGATACTATTTTTTACCCTGACAAGTGAAGTAATGGGTTCTTTTGTATCTGTGGCAGCATAGCCGTTTGGATGATTAGCTTTATCTCCGATGCTCACAAACAGATATTTAAATGATAGGTTTCAGATTAGCAGATAAAAGTAATCCTTCAAAAAATAACTATTATGGGTATTGTGTGTATTTCGTGACGGGCGTGGCATTAAAATATGCTTTGCCTCGATATTTAATCAAATTTTCAGTATTTACTTGCTCGAAAAACTTGAAAATTATCTGTTACAATAGTTGTGTTCTTGTAAAAATTACCCAGTAACTTGCCAGCAACTCTCCAGTAACTTAACTTCTGAGAATTCGCTTTCATAGAAAAAATATCCAAAAAAGTACGTGCACGCAAATCTATTAATAGTTTGCAAGTGAACACCTGATAAATTGACTGATTTAAAGAAAATTTACATATCATATCAGTTTGTAAATGGTACAACCTAAAGCAATAAAATACCTGATTTTAAGATACATTTTTTTTACTCTTACGTACGTATTATTTCTACACTAAAATTCTTAAGGTTATTTTCATTTCATTCGGTATCGACTAAAGTGGCATAGAAACTTGTTTTGTCAGTATGTTTGATAAAAAATTTATTAAATTATGTAATCTTATTGTTGTAATTATGCCAAATAATGTATTCGCGTTGATTTATTTTATTTATTTTTGTTGATATGGACGCTGCACAGTGGTCAGAGAAGCTATATTCTACACGAATAATTAATAAGCTGTCAAATCAACTGCCAATTTCTGTTAAGAATAAGAAAGTCTTTTTGGAAATACCACTGATTAGGTTTTTAGGCAACTAGTCACGAATTTTATGTCGAATTAAAACTTTGGTAGGTGAAAACTGTCAAATGGACTGTGAGTTTTTCCAAAAACGGGACAATCGTTTTAAAAATGCCCTGATTAGGTTTTTAGACATGCTGATCCCGAATTTCATGTCAAATTAGAACCTAAAGAGTTGACAGCTGTCAAATGGGCTGTTAATTTTTCTAAAAATAGCAGAAAATATTTTTTTAAATGCTACTGATAAACGGTTTAGGCATGCTAGTCACGAATTTTACGTCAAATCAAAACCTTGAGAGTTGTCAGCTGTAACACATTCAAACTTTCTCATTTGTCAACTGTCAAATGAATTCTAATTTCAGTTGAGTAACACAGCATATATATTTGTTTAGCCAAATTAATGATGTATTGTATTCGAGGGAACATATTTAAAATGAGTTTGTGATCAAATGGTGAAATAATTTTGAATTTTCAAAACGTAGTTTGAAATTTGTAATGAGCGAACTTAAGAACCTTAAAATACCAAATTTCACGAAAATTCAGTAATTTTTAAATTCTTGGACGCCATATTGAATTCGCTATTTTGGATCTTTGAAAATTGACTTCAGGCTTGTTCAGAACGTAAACGGATTCAACGGCTTGCTGAGCAGATATTACTGAAACTACTAATCAGTTTTGAGTTCGTTGGACTCTGCTGAATAAGAATAGCTTTATTCCGGCTAATTTATTCTAGTTTTCAAATATGCCTTTTCGCGTAAAACATGGCCTCTCCAACCACTGTGTGCTGCAACATTGCAGTTTGTAAATCTTTCAACTTTAAGTTACTAGCAAATTTATAATTTTAATTTCTTGAAAATATATAAAAATGTTAATGACGCTTACAAACTGCCGGAACAAAGTATTGGCACAGCAAATTTTTCACAATATATGCAACAATTTTTATTTTAATATTTTTCCGCCAATTTTGTATAAAAATATGGTTCATTCTACAACAAACAACATAAAAACATAAGTCCTAAACTTTGTGCAAAACTCGCGAAAATTCTGTAAATTTTCATGCAAATTTTCAACTTTTCAATCAGATGTTTTAGAATTTTTTTGAGTATGCCCAATCAATTTTATTATAATAAAGTACAAGTTTTAAGTAGCTAGGAATTACCGTTGATTTTTGCCTCGGTTAAAACTGATATTAAACCTGATAAGACGACTTTATTCAAGCTCATCTCCGATAGGCGCCAATTTCTTCACAAATTGTGGTTCTTATTGCATAAGTGCTGTGTTATGAAAGGTCATTTAGAGCTTCTGTTAACAAAGCGATTTTATCCTTTAATCTGGGATGAGTCCACGTAATTTTATAGAACCAAGTAGTGCTTGAACATTGGACTAAAATGAAGCGAACTTAACGATTTTTTTGTTGTTGTAGCGTCTACACATTTTTAAATGCATCTAATTTTTTTCTCTCGTCCAACTTCAGGTTCATATCAATCTACCAGCGACATGTCGGAATATACCAACGCCGTCGAGGTATGCCACATCGACGATCTGCAGGAGAATGAAATGAAGCAATTTAACTTCGATGCGAACACACCGGTATTGGTGGTGAAGCAAGACGGTCAGATATCAGCCATCGGTAATAAATGTACGCATTACGGCGCCCCCTTGCACACCGGCGCGCTGGGTCAGGGACGCATACGTTGTCCATGGCATGGTGCCGCTTTTTGCACACGTACCGGTAATATCGAAGATTTCCCTGGGCTCGATTCGCTGCCATGCTTTATGGTACGCGTTGAAAATGACGGTAAGGTGAAGTTACGCGCCAAGCGCGCTGATTTGGAGAAGAATAAGCGCTTGAAGAATATGGTGAAACGTGATAAAGCGAATAAGCTGTGTATCGTTGTTATTGGCGGCGGTCCGGCAGGAGCAACCTGTGTAGAAACGTTGCGCCAAGAAGGCTTTACCGGCCGCATTGTAATGCTATGTCGCGAGGAAATCTTGCCTTATGATCGTATCAAAGTATCCAAGACACTGGGAATCGCGGCGGAAACGATACAATATCGAGATGCCGATTTCTATGCCCAATATGATATTGAGGCATTGCTTGGCGTGGAAGCGACCAAAGTCGATACGACTGACAAGAAGGTACATTGCTCGAATGGGGATGAGATCAAGTATGATCAGCTTTTTATCGCTACTGGCTTGAGAGCTAAGCGCCCGCCAGCCAAGGGAACCGATTTGAAAAATGTATTCACTTTGCGTGAGCTCTCAGATGGTAAGGCCATAGTTGACGCCGTAACACCGGAAACAAACCTGGTCTGCGTAGGTGGCAGCTTTATTGCAATGGAGGTGGCTGCAGCGTTGGTCTCGAAAGTTAAATCGGTAAGTAGGGGTGAGGGAAAAATGCAGCGATTAAGTTTAGATGGATTAGAGGTTTTTGAGAACAGAAATGTTTTTGAATTATGCTTTTATCTCAGTCGATGGCAGCCTACAGGGTTTAGTAGTTAGGATGGTTTTGAGAGTTGATAAAGGAGAAAAGATGTCCAATGCGATAAATTGGTGTTTCCAATTGACGAGTTGGAGTCGGTGGCGAAGTTTGAGAAAATAACAAAGGCTGTCTTGAGTCACATTATTTTTATGTTTTTTCCATATATTTTAAATCCAATCAAATTGCATCTTTTTACATTTCTCCCCTTTCCCTCCATAGGTAACGGTACTATACTCAGGCGAATATCCCTTCCCCTATTTCGGCGAGGCTGTGGGTGAACTTTTCTACCGTCTATATCGTGAGAAAGGCATCACAATGAAGAGTCAAAGCAGACTTTCTGAGTTGTACGGCAATGACGAGGGGGCTGTCACTGAAGTCGGACTTATCGATGGCAGCAAGGTGCCATGTGATGTTGTTGTCTTGGGTACTGGTTCCAGCTTTAACACAGATTTCCTCAAAGGTTCAGGCATCAAAGTTAACGCCGACGGCTCAATTGACACTGACATGCATCTCATGACAAATGTAATCGATGTTTATGTAGGCGGTGACATTGCCAATGCACCCATAATGGCCAATGCCAATCAACGCGGTGCTGTTGGTCACATACAATTGGCGCAATATCACGGTCGTGTGGCCGCGCTCAATATTACGGGCACCATAGAGGATTTGCGTGCGGTGCCCTTCTTTTTCACAATGATTTTCGGCAAGGGTATACGTTATGCTGGTCATGGCAATTTCTCGGACACGCTGATCAAGGGTGACTTGAATGGCTTCAAATTCGTTGTATACTATCTCGATGCGCACGGAAATGTGATAGCCGTTGCAACGATCGGTCATGATCCGGTAGTATCACAATATGCAGAGTTACTGAGTCAGGGAAAGCGTTTGCATCGCTCCCGAATAGAGAGTGCAGAGGATCACTTGGAGTGGACGAATATGTTGAAGGAGAAGAAGGCGCGAGTGTCGAATGAGTGCTGAACGAGCATTTAAATTAATTGTATATTTGTAAATGTGTAACATTGGTATTTATTAGTACAATTTTGTAAAATTATTTGCAAAGAATTCGCAAACCAAGTATTGAAACTAAAACTAATAATAATACATATTGCTATTCGAAAGGTAAAATATATGTTAGTATAAAAAAACTTTGGAAGTTAGGTGGGAGGATTTCAGAATTGAAAAAAAACTAAAATTTAAACAAGTATTCTATAACAACAATTAAAATTAATTAAAATTAATTGTTGTTATAGAATACTTGTTTAAATTTTAGATTTTTTTTTTTTAACCAATGATCGAATCTAAACCAGATTAGTATGGGACCACCTCTGAGACACTACCTTTCCGATGCAAAAAGAAATTGAAATCGGTTGACTAAAAAAAAAACAAAAAAAAAATATTCCGACGAACTGATAACCTCCTCCTTTTTCGGAAGTCGGTTAAAAAACGTATAAATCCCATTTTTTAATTTCATAAATGTTACAAAAAAAAATATGTGCTATCATAATGACCTGCAGTGAATAATGTCGAATTTCCACTGATAAAAAACTGGAGGCATTTAAAAAATGGAAATAAACTTAATTACTATTTTTTTAACGTAATAAAAAAAATATTTTTAATGCCCAAGTTTGTCATTACAATTTTTGTCATTTAATGCCAAAGTGAAAAATATTTTTAGAAAACTTTGGATATACAGTTTTGTAGTCCATTCAATTTTAGTAAAATAGAGTGCTAGTTTCAAGTGGCTGTAAAGTAGCGTATTTTCTTCCATATAAAAATATTGTCGATCATACTTGGTATGGAAGAAAATGGATGACACTGTCAACAAAAAAAGTTTCAAAAATCAACGACATTTTGTAGCCACTTGAAACTTGTACTTTATCGTACTTAATATTACAAAACTGCATATACGAAATTTTTCTAAGAATATTAAGTTAGGCACATTAAACTATTCACTTATTGAATATTAAATACTAAGGTACCCTATTTAAATGAGTGGAGGAGTGTACGTTCTAAATATGAAACAAATCGGACCATAAATACGGAGTTTATAAACACCTCGACTCCTGCGCCATATTTCAGGCAAAATTTTTCTGGAGTTGTTCCTTTTCATGTAAGTAATACACATTTTAAAGTTAAAGGGTTCATGTTCGGACTATAAATACAGGATTTTTTAATATCTAGACAGCTGCGTCATCTTGCGGATTACTTAATATTCTCATCGGGTTAGGGGCTAACTTTAGGGTTCCAAGCCTCTAGCTCATCGGAAAATTGATTCCAAGATTTGATTCCACGCAGATGAAACTTAATACAAGTTTGTTAAAAAGGAAATAGATCGTAGTCGGACAGTGGGCCCTAGGATGGATTCTAACCTTTAATGAAAAAAACAAAAAAACACTTCTCATAGTTTGTTGTTGTTTATAAAGCAAAAAAAAAACAAGTGGTTAACGTTAAATCGTTCCAATCTTCTTGGCTACCCTGTATCAATAACACTGTGAGACAAATGGTAGGGGTCAGTGATCGGGAAGGGTTCAAACTACCGGGGAAAGTTATATCGGTAAAAAAGAAGTTATACGTGTCCCGGCGTTTCGCTGGGTCACGTCTAGGAATCGAGATATATCGATTTGAAGTTAGTAACTATCATATAGGGGAAATTGTCACCTTTGGTGGTTTTTTTTTACATAACTCGAGAACCACTAGTCCGATTTTGCTCAAACAAATTAAAAAAAATTAAAAATTACAATTCCTTTAATCTGTTCATATAACGTTTTTCTATATAATCAACAGTTTTGCCGGTAAAAATAAATGTATGAAGAAAAAAAATATTTTTTGCCTAAAATATTAAATTTCATGATGTATGTCTCATTTTGTTCATAGGTTATGTGACTTTACGAAATTTAAGACTATTTTTGCGCGAGTTTGTGAAAACTTTCAGAAGCAGAGGAATAATTTTAAAAATTAAAATTTTAACTATTAAATATGTGCATACATATTTAGCTGTTTTTCTTTGGGTTCAATATAATATGTATTTGTTGGGATATAAGCAGTGTCGCCGCTGGAAATCTTTTATTGAATCATCGGCTTCGGCTTCGGTAATCGGCGGATTGTTAGATCAAAGCCGAATGTTCGGTTCGGCTTCGGGCAAAAAATCTACCTTCGGTCAGACTTTAGTAAGGACATACATTTTATTATTGAATTGAATTATGTGTGGCACGCTTTTTCACGTGTAAATTATTCATAGCTCAGATGTGTGATGGGAATGAAGAAAATTTTTAATAATTTTGACCAAGAAAAAATTTATTCACTTTAACATTAAAAATCATTATAAAAAAGTGGCTAAAAAAGTGGCTAGTGGCTAAAATAAATTTTGGTGGCAAAACAAAAAGAGACGATGGCTAAAACCAAAACCACCAAATGGCTAAAACGCCAACATTGGATATACCTAAGTGATAAATCTATAGCTTGGTATCCTGCTTTTAACCTCAGAACTTAATTTTGACAGATACATAGTTGCGAGCAATATGATTGCAAGTTTTTGTATTACAGCTGGAAAACTATCGAAGGCACTATCGATAGTATCGATGGTTTTTGACTATCGAAAACATCGATGGTTTTGTAAGCACTATCAATAGTTTTCACTCATACATACATTAATCAGTAACATACATATTTCAGAGCAAAGATGCTGTTTGAAGCCAAAAATCGTCGATAAACTTTTATTCCTTAACAAAAATATCGACATACTTATTTTAGAAATTCTGATCCCATTTTCAATAAAAGTTGTTATGTTTAAATTTTGGACTCTTTAATCAAAACTATAGATAGTCAGGGCTATCACAGAATCCATCGTAGCTTCGATTTTCGTGAAATCTACGAAAGTGCTATCACAGAATCCGAATAGCTACGAACGTAAATTCGAAATTCGTAGAGCGCCTTCATTGAATCCGTTCGTAATGAAGATTCGTACAGATACTCTACGACGAGATTATGCTGTCGGAACAAAATTTAAAATCACTCAATCTTAAAAATAGTGGAAAAAAGCTGCATTATTTTTAATATTAAATATTTATTATACTCCAAGTTTGTTATAATTTGATATAATTCCATATATTTGTGTAAACGTAGACGTAAAATACCAATGCTATACATACATACATATGTCCATACACGCATTCATCTGCTAGGCGCTATTTAATGAATTAATATTTTGCATGAATCGAGGAAATAATAGTTTAGCAACAATTTATTAGGAAATAAACCTAATTACTTCAATATCATAAAAATTTATTTAAAAAAAAAAAATTTATATTTAAAATAATAACATCTAAGCTAAAATTAAACCCAAAAAAAAAAATATTTATTAAAAAAATAAACAAAAATTAAATAAAAAAAGAAAAAAATCTCCACTGCCCGACGACTCGGACTCGAACCCGGATCTCTCAACTAGCAGTCTAGTGCTTTGCCCACTCGGCCATTGTGACTTCTGGGGCAGCGTGAGCAAAATGGCATACGTAAATGTCTATTATTTCTTTTGCACTAGCTAATTTCGAATCAGCATTCGAAGCTGGCAACGATATTTTCGAGTTCACTCGGATTCAGTGATAGCAATTTTTTCGTATTCGTAGCAGGCATTCGGATTCGTAGATTTTCTACGATGGATTCCATGATAGCCCTGAGTACTATCGATAGTGTCGACATTTTCGATAGTATCGATGGCTGTGACTATCGACTATCGTGGTCGTGGCCATCGATAGTTTTCCAGCTCTATTTTGTTTGTTCGCACTTTGATGTCTTGATATATGTATATCCCTGAATAACTTTGTTCGCTTCCCCAATTACGATCGCGAATTACCCTATTGCCACGGGCACATTCTTAATTCGATTTGGCAGTTCTCTGTCTCCGTGTTTTGTCTCTTCTTTCTTCACTACAAAATTGTAAGTTATTGCTAAATATTTCTAAGTTTCCGTATTAAGTTATTGATGTAAACATGTATAAACTTTTCTTTTCGTACTCAGAAAAAGTGTCAGCTTTGATTTGTGAACTGGTTTCGATAAATTCCAGTTAAAAATTAGAGACGGTAGCGATTTGGTCGTAATTCGCATGGTAATTGCATTCCGCTACTTTGGGTTTGCCGATTTTTAAAGTCTCGATGTTCGTAAACAACGTCTAAAAAATTTAAATGCACTGAAATTCACTATACTTTCAATAAAATCACAGTTTTTCACATTTCCTTACTAATTTTTTCACATATCATATATTTTCACAATTTAAAGCAATCAAAACACGTTTCCTATCGAAAAATTGAATATTAAAATAAACTACTCACATTCTCTTTTATCCTCCTATTCGGCTTCGCTACTTCAAACGTGTTTTAATTGTGCTAAGTTGTAAAACTATATATTTTACAATAAGAATAAATAAGGAAAATGTGAAAAAATTGTGATTTTTGTGCAAATATTAGCTCTGATCCAGTACTCCATGAACTTACAGGATTTTACACGAACTTGCAGGAAGTTACAGGAAAAATTTTCCCGTACTCCAAAAGCCTCCAAAATCCTGTAAAATGAGAGCGACTTTTGGAGAGTTGTGTAGAGAATGAAGTTGCAAGATTTTACCCGAACTTTTTCTTCTGGTAAAATCATGAAAAGTGGTTGACGTTTTTACAGGAAAAATGGTTTTTTTTGTTCCCGTACTTTTTGTTGTTACTCACTTTTTACTCTCACTTCAGAGAGTAATTTTGCTGTTTGACAGTTTTACAGGATTTTTCACGAAAAGTATTGGATCAGAGCTATTAGTTAATTTTAGTGCATTTAAAGTTTCTGAGGCGTTGTTTACTTATAGACCAGACAACGCCGTATTGTGTTTGCTGCGGCAGTGACTGCCAATATTAGCAGAACAGCTGATTTTAAAAAAACTGTTACTGCCACTGCGCTATTGTATTTTTGGGCTTATGTTTCGTACTTTTTGCGGCGTGCATGTGCGGGATCTGGTATGTGTCGTCAAACAAGCGAGATTTGCATGCACGTGAAGACGGCTGGTAAGGTCAGATTCCTGCCCAACACTGACGTCCTTAATTTTTCCCCAAAGTAGTATCTTTTTCAAACGTCAACATCGCTAACTGTCAAAAAATCATCTAAATTCACAATTAATCAAACGCAACGAAGTTGGATTTCTTTTCTGCTGTGTTGACCAAACGCCCAATAATTTTTTTTCTAATTTACCTATTGTGTGCGAGTGTGATTTTCTTTATAAAATCCACATAACATTCCAAAGATCAGGACAGCGACAATAGCCTGGAATATATTTCGGCAGTGTGCGCAACGTTATAAGCCAGCAGTCAGAAACGATGAATTTTCTCGGATTTGGTCAATCGGCCGAGATCGATATAATTTTTGACGGTGCGGAGAACAGGAAAACAGCCGAGGTCAAAGGAGAAGATGGAAAAATTGAAAAAATGCTACTATATTATGATGGCGAAACTGTGTCGGGCAAGGTAAGTGCATTAATTTAATGAAAACAAGCGCGTATGTACGTTCATATAAATTTTATGGAGGGGGAGTATTAAGCAATGAGAGGCATACGGGGCACTAGTGACGATGCAAGACTGACTAACGACTAGTTGCTAAGGTGGCTACAACCGGCAATTGGACTAATTTGTTTACCATTTGTTTGTAATATCTTGCTTTGGAAACTAATTGGAATAGGATAGGAAAAACTGTTTTAATAAAAATTGCATTGACGTTATCAGCTAGAGTAGAGGTACACGTACATATGTTTGGATTTTATTAATGTTCGAACCGAAGTTTGCGAGATTCAGAGGCGGCAGAGTTTGCTTGAGCATTTCTAGTGCAGCGTAGCCAGCTGAAACTAGTTTTTGATTTGTATAAAAAAGTTAAAACTATAACGTAGGCCAAAGGTAGAAATTTAATTCATATATGTTCAAACAATTTTTTTCTAAAAAGTGGTGTTACAAACAAAATCGTATTAAGGACAACGCTAACGCCTTTGTCCCTGTGGACCCACCCCATTGAGGCTGCACGCTTCTTCCGTTAGTGGAGCTTGACGACAACGACTGAGGTATTAACTGATCTCGAATAGATGTAATAAACTTTTCATAACGTACTTCATTGTAATCTTCTAAACGTTCCAAGTAATTGCTACTTTTGTTCTAACGCAGGTAAATGTAACACTCAAAAGGCCTGGCAGCAAACTCGAACATCAAGGCATAAAAATCGAATTCATTGGGCAGATCGAGCTGTTTTATGACCGCGGCAATCATCATGAATTCAAATGCATTACGAAGGCTTTAGCCCGTCCGGGTGATCTTATTCAAAACCACAGTTACCCGTTCGATTTTCAAAATGTCGAAAAGCAATTTGAGGTGTACGCTGGTTCAAATGTACGTCTGCGTTATTTCTTACGGGCGACCATTGTACGTCGTATCAGCGATATTACGCGCGAAGTAGACATCGCAGTACACACACTTTGCAGTTATCCAGAAATGAATAGTCCTATTAAAATGGAAGTGGGCATTGAGGATTGCCTGCACATCGAATTCGAATATAATAAAAGTAAATATCATTTGAAAGATACTATAATCGGTAAGATATACTTCTTGTTGGTACGCATTAAAATAAAACACATGGAAATTGCAATTATTAAACGCGAATCTACTGGCACCGGTCCAAATATGTTCACCGAGAACGAGACAATTGCCAAATATGAAATAATGGATGGCGCCCCGGTGAAAGGCGAGAGCATACCGATACGCGTGTTTCTTGCCGGCTATAATTTGACGCCAACAATGCGCGATATTAATAAAAAATTCTCAGTAAAGTACTTCCTAAATTTGGTGTTAATGGACACGGAAGATCGCCGATACTTCAAACAGCAAGAAATAACGCTTTGGCGCAAAGCAGATATACCGCGTTACCACAACCAGGGCCAGCAGCAACATACCAGCATGGTGCATTCACATCATCCGCAACATGCGCACTCACATCTCGTTGGTGGCCCCACTGTGCCCAATATGACCAGTGTTGGCAGTGGTACGAACGCTACTGGTATGGATAGTGATTCGAGCATAACGGGTACTGCGCCTGAGAGCAAAATGGGCTTATTTACACGCGAGAGTCCAAGCCAAGAGTTCACTCAACAAGTGGATTCATTACCAACTTCACCAACAACACCGCCACCACCAGTAGAACGCGGCATCGGTGATGGTGCGGCTGCAACCAATACATCTCCTGTCATGCTATCCACTACACCCCCACCATTGCCCCCCGTGTCGGCCACAACAGCGGTGCTCGGCGTTCAGCCGGTTGCGGATGACTTTGTGGGTGCGGAAACGCAACCTATAAATGCTGCAACAGGTGCAGCGCCACTACGATTGACTCCAGATATTGAGGACGGCATGACAAACATTTCGCTTGCACCCACGGATATAGATGTTGAGATAGTGAGTTCAAAACCGGACGCCAACGCTGTGGAAAGAACGCAAGAATCAAAGAAGCGCGAAACTGCTGCACCACTTATTGCAGACTGAAGCCGCCAGGGTTTACTCAACAAACAAGAAGTGCTGCAAGTGCTTAAAGTCCAAACTTCGAAAGCGATTCGCCTAATTAGTATGCCCGCGCATTGTTGGTTGGCTATTATCCTATTACACACATGTTTGTAGTTCCCTTAGTTGGCGTTTCGACGCCGGCTTCTCAAACAGCACACCAATTCATATTCGTTTAATTGCAAGTATGCATATTGTTCGTTTAACCAAATCCACGACCTGTCAGGCAGGTTTTGCCATTCACTTCGGAGTGAATTTCAAATTTGTTTTGAATTCAAATTGACAGGGGTTGAAATTGACTCGAAAGCGAATTACAGTACCAGCCTGGTTTTATCTATTTTTCTTGTAGACTAAAATATCCTGATTATATATAAAAAGATCGCTGTTTTACTATTTTCCATTTATATTGAAACTATAAATACTGCATTAATCTTACTTTATTTGCATTAATATTTTACCTTTATTTCTTTTAAAGTTCTACTCTAAAGCAAAAATGTTACGCGCTACGCGATGTAGTTTATGGTTAAAAACGAAGAATATCTTTGAACAAAATTATAAAGAGATATTTGTATCTTGTAGAATATAAGCAAATCGTATATAAAATATATAATGTATTAAACAATTTATTAATAAACATAGGAAACACTATTTCAAATGTGATGACTCATTTGACCAAGACCCAGTATACTCACTATAAAAACACGACGGTAAAATTTTGCGAGTCTTTCGAGACGCACCTTCCTTAACATCAGCATCAGGACATCATCAGCACGTTCATTACCAAACAAATATATATTCTCGACTATCAACTTGCATTTTATTTTATTTTTATTTCTTTATATTTAAAAGTAAAATAGAAATATGCTTTTAATCCTAATTCGCAACTTAATCCCAGGCTTCTTTGACTTTCAAATGTTCCAGTCGCTCCTCGATTGTTACGTGTGGTTTCATTTTGTTCAAGGTCTGTCGTTCATTCCACATCGTCAGTTTGGCTTCGGTTTTGCCCAACTCCTTGGCATGTCCTGATGACTCCTCCTGTAAAACACCGAATGTGCCCATTAGATTTTGTAACAGTAAAATATATAATTTAATTTACCACTGTCAGGTACGGATGTCGTAGCCATAACATATTTTGCTCCTGTCTTTCATAATCACGCCGGAGTGTTTCCATTGCTCGCTTACTAACCGGTTTTATGAAACGCCTTTTCCCACGGAAAATGTGACCGGGTACAGTTTTCTTAAAAAAGTTTATTAACGTTAACTGCATTGTTTGGAAACTGGTAATTACAATAAATTTTTTTAGATTACTTGCACGAGCTGTGCAGCAAACAGCTGATTAAATAGTTATTCAAAGAATGTACATTGAACACACTGCGGTGACGGCGGGTATTCAAATAATCCATTGTGAATGATTAAAAAAAATATATATATTTTTTATACCCCTCAAACAAGCTATACAACTGAGCAAAGGTCTTTTTTTTTGGAAATCCAAGAAACATTGCCTGGTAAGTCTTTACCGTTATGCAAAACTCTTTTGTGAAAAATGTTAAAAACTTTATGTATTTGCCTAACAATAAAAACATTCAACAATTCTAATTATTTCAACTTAAATGCGGTTAGTTGTCTTGTTATCAGTGTAACACAGGAGCGCCGTCCGTCTCTTTATTATAAAATCGGTCCATATAGTGCATGATTTCAAATCCAACTTCCACCATAATCAAAATAATTATCATCCATTCCAAACGAATGTGATGTGCGTCATTCAAATTGTGCGATATTAACTCTGCCAATTCTACACAGTGATTAATCTTCTCATTCATCACTTTTGTTCGCCGTGAAATACTGAAATATGAACAAACTTGCAGGTACAATGCTTCCAACTCTTCACGATCCCAATAAAAATCTGGTGTGTCCAACAAATCCGATGCCAAGTTGATCTCGTGCCGTAAAGCAAAGAGTTCTCCTGTTTTACGCAACACCTCGGCACGGGACATGCGTATGCGTCGTCCTCGTTTCAGGTCATCTGTGAGATATTCGATTGAATCAATATAACGATCGAGCATGGCTTCCCACATGCCCAGTTTTATTGAAGTTGCCATTGCGTTGGAGAATGTGTACTTCTGCAGAAAATTATCACCCTCGGGCGCGAGGAAAAATTTGCCATTGTGAAAGAAAGCACGTGCGACTTCCGTATCTGACGCAGATACCAAGTCTCCTTCCACATCAACCGCAGTTGATGGAATGTACATGTAGGGCATCACCTCGCTTTCCCCGCGAACTAGTGGGCTTAAATAAGGGTCCTTCTCGTACGGACGCAAAAATGATAACAAATTATTGGTTTCAATGTCATTGAAATTCCACAATACCACTGATCCTTCGCGAAAGATAATTATATCCCGTGCCTCCTTGCCTACAGGATATTTCGCTGAAGCGTACAGCACATTCTGTTCCAGGCCGAGATTATCTGTGGAGAAGTATTTTTTGACAGTGTACAAATTCTGTTCGTTTAAACCTTTCATGAGTGCCTCCAGATCATATTCTTCGGCAGTTGTAAATGCAGACACGTTGAAGAAACCCTCCGCGGACAAGTCTTCGAAGAGGTGGTCATCCCACTTCTTGCGAACGGTGCGTTTCTTAAGAACTTGCGCTACCGAAGCACCTGCTGCCGCCTGTTGTGCCGCTTTTCGACTGTGTGTCAATGGTGTTGGAAGCTTCAACTCAAATTGCTTCGGTTTTGATTCAAATTGCGTCAGAGATTTCTGTGAAGCACGCTGGACATTGCCAAAGGTGATTTGCCGATAGAAGATTCCAGTCACCTTCTGCGTTAAGCCTGTGCCTCCAGCGCTTCTAGTAAATATAAGACGTGCAAAATTCATGTTCTTGAGGAAATTTTAGTTTATTATTGATTTAGACTTTTGTAAATTTCATAATCATGTGCACTTCTTAACAAAAAAATCTACAGCCGGCTTCCAACAAAAAGATGGTGAGGTAAGTATGTTCAGTTAATGACCGGTTGAACAAAAACTCCTTTTATTTTTGTTGTAAATAAGTACTAAATTCACCGTGAACTTTTATTGTGTATTGTATTTTGCGGGCGTCAGACAGTGATCAGAGATTTGTAAACAAATAATAAAAAAAAGTTAGCGTAAGTTTGGGTTTTTATTTTTAAACGAATCAGTAATCAATATTAACTGATGTTTACTTAATTTGAAGGTGAAGCATTCATTGAATCTGGCAAAAATGAAAGTTGCAGTAGAGGGTTGTGCTCACGGTGAGCTGGAAAAGATTTATGAAACAATACAGTGCCTTGAAAATGAGGAGGGCTACAAAGTGGATTTGTTACTTTGTTGTGGAGATTTCCAAGCTACACGTAACTTGGACGACTTACAGACAATGGCAGTGCCACCAAAATACTTGGACATGTGCTCGTTTTACAAGTGAGTATCACATATATATGTACATTTATAAAAATGTAGTTTAAAAATATATTAATTAACGTAAGTAAAAACAAACATTTTATTTTATAGATACTACAGTGGTGAGCTAGTTGCACCAATCCTTACAATATTTATAGGGGGTAATCACGAAGCATCCAATCATCTGCAGGAACTACCGTACGGTGGCTGGGTAGCACCGAACATCTACTACTTGGGCTATGCTGGTGTTGTAAAGGTGAATGGCATACGTATTGCAGGGTTGTCGGGCATTTATAAAGGACATGACTACTTGCGTGGGCGTTTTGAATTTGCTCCCTATACGGACACTACGCGCACAAGCGTTTACCATGTTCGCCAACTCGAAGTGTTTCGCCTGAAACAACTTTCCGGTACCATCGATATATTCATGTCACACGATTGGCCACGTGGTATATACAACTATGGCAATAAGTCACAATTAGCGCGTTTTAAACCCCATTTTCGTGATGAAATGGATAAAGGTCAACTGGGTAGTAGGCCTTGTGAGGACTTGCTTAAGTTGCTAAAACCCAATTATTGGTTTGCGGCACATTTGCATTGCAAATTTGCCGCCGTGGTGCCGCATGATGAAGTGGAGGATAGCAGCGGTGAAGCTGATGAAAGTAGTAATGAAAATCATAGCTCGAAGGACAAGCCAGTCGGCGAGGATAAAGATGAGCGTATTACCAAATTTCTTGCATTGGACAAATGCTTGCCTAAGCGTAGATTTTTGCAGTTACTCGACATTGAAACACCCGAATTTACAGAGGGTGAAGTGCGCCTCGAATATGACCTTGAATGGTTAACTATTCTACATTTAACAAATCATTTAACGAATGTGAAAAGTTCAAAGTATTATCTGCCGGGACCACAAAATGCAGCAAGTACTGAGCGTTACAACTTTGTACCCAATCGCGACGAAATGGAAAATGTTCGGAACAAGTTTGCTGCAGATTTACTGATACCCAAGAATTTTTCACGTACAGTTGAACCCTATAACGCTAGCGAAGCCAATAGAGAACATGTGTCACAGCCAAAAGCGCAAATTAATCCACAGTCTCAAAATTTCTGCGATGCTTTAGGTATTGATGATCCTGTTAGTCTAGCACTAATTATAGGCGGGCATGAGCTCAGCTATTCCAGTGCGATGAACGAAAGCACAGATACAGAGTTCAACGATTCTACAGCATCAATGCAAACGGAACAATCCAGCTTGAATATATCGAGCAGCACTGGAGATGCGCTGTCGCCGCGACAAATCAGTCCTTTCAAGCGAAAAAGTAGTTTAGGTTTAAATTTGCCCAAACCCATAGTGGAGATCGATAGTGCAATAGGTGAAATTTGTGAAGAGAAGAATCCCGATGAATTACAGCTGGGTAATAGTTCTGCTGATGAGACAGATAATGAGGCTAAAGTGGCGGAAGATGTTAACGAGGAAGATAGTGGGGCGATTGCTTTGAATGCAAAACCGCCCATTAAGAAATTCAAGCGTCGAAATCAAAGCGTATATATGAACGAAGACAAGGAAGATGAATCAGGGTAAAAGTCATGCGTTCAAGTAAATTTAATTATGCGTAGGCAGAAAAGCAGATGTATAAGTTATTAAATCAATGAAATTAGAAGTGTACACATTCATATTTAACTAAATTCATTCGATAAAAATACCTATGTATAAATTTTACATTTTCATAAATCCCACAAGTTCCAACTTAATTAAATTCGAGCTATAATTATTTGAAAACATACTTTGTCACATATATTCTTAAATCACATATTATTAATATTTAGCTAATAACACTGCATTAATTTTACTTTTTAAAATTAAACAATTTTGGTAGAACATCCCCGCATTTGGCGGACAACTTCAAATCCGCCAAATGATCAGCACGCGTTTCGCCAATATTTACAATAGCCAATGGCAATTTGAGGTCCTTTGTTTGCAGCACCATTCGATAGCCAGAAAACACAAGCAAACTAGAACCGAGCACCAATAGCCCATCGCTATTATAAATCATCTCTGCAATGCGTTCGATGCGTTGCTTTGGAACATTATCACCAAAGAATACAATCTCTGGCTTTACATTTCCGCCACATTTTGGACATGGGGGTATGCGAAAGTTGGCTACGTACTCAGCTGGGATTTCCACATCACCGTCAGGTCGTACCATGTCGGGTGCATCGCGAAATTCAGGATTTAGCGCGTTTAGTATATCTTGAAATTCGTGTCGATCTATACGATACTCGCATGATAGACATTTGACCACAAAACCGCTGCCGTGCAATTCCACGACATTGCGGCTACCTGCTTTTGTGTGAAGCCGATCGACGTTTTGGGTAACAACAGCCTGAATACGTCCCTCTCGCTCGAAACGCGCCAGCGCATGGTGGGTATGATTGGGCTCTGTTGCAGAGAATGTTGGCCAACCGACAAAATTGCGTGCCCAGTAGCGTTGGCGCACATTTCCGGAGCGTACAAATTCCATGTGCTGTATTGGTTTGTGATTAGTCCGCGCGTACAAACCAACTCCCTCGGAGCGGTAGTCGGGTATGCCTGCCGATTGCGGATACATACAGTATATTTCGTATTGTTTTTAATGTGTTGTTATGCCTACCAGATTCCGTGGAAATGCCTGCACCTGTGAGAACAACAATGTTGGGTTTTGACATAAGAAAATCTTCTAGGCGTCTGATATCTTCCTCCAGCACTGGATTATGTTTAGGAACATATTGCTGCTTTGCTGCCCATTGGCTAACAGACAGATGAAGGCGGAGTACCTGATTAAAACGCATTATATGCGTGCGATCCACGAAATTCGATGAAAATAGCAAGGTACAACGCACTTTTCCTAAAACATCACATAACGCAGAAAGAAAAACAAACAACTAGGCGCACGTATAAACAAAACAAAATCAGCTGTTGGGGAAAAGGCATTCACAATCAAGATGCAATAATTGAATTATGTTCACAATAGTGTTAATCTTTGTAACCGGCCGTGTTCACGTGCTGGTAAATCTCGCTTGCGTGTCGACGAAGCTCTCGCATGCTTTCAATTATCATTTTTGTTGTTTGACAGGTATTTTTATATTTCGCATAATTCTTCAGAGTAGCAATATCGCTTTTTGGTGAAAAATACAAATTTAGCCTGCAAAGCTCGAACCTTCATTTTTGGTGACATTTTACAAATTGTCTTTCCGCCTGCCCCACATATGTACATAAGTGACGGCGAGAACATGGATCGAAAACTCGGCCTTTCCGACCATGATCGAAAGTTCGTTAGCAGCGGAGCGAAAACTGGGCCTTTCCGCCCGATGCACATTATGGTAGACTGGAGACTAGGCCTCGCCAGCTACCCAACAAAAAGTATTCGGTAGTTTTAGATATATTGCAACATATTTATATATATATATGTATGTATACTTGGTAATATGATATCAACATGTACCCTCTGAATTCGCAAGACTGAAAAATAAATAAGATAATTTAGTGTATAATTAAAATTTAGTGCGTAAATAAAATTTAAAATGACAATTGGCTGTTAATTATGAAATTTTATTTGTATATAAGGGCAAATGTTTAGTTATTGGCCCATCGTTTTTGGGGTGGGGGCGGAGGGGGAAGGGGCGTGGCCCCCCAAACCCTCCTCATTCGAAAGGGGCCAGTCGCCACTTTACGTCACTCTACTCAGGCAGTAGAATTCTTCTTTCTGTGTTGCCAAAGAAGGGGGGCTGAACACCTTTTGCAGAGAACACCTTTCTACGTAGGCGGCCTTCGGCCGCACTTAGGGATTATAACCCTCAGGCAGTAGAATTCTCCTTTCTGTTTTGCGAAGAAAAGGAGCTGAATACCTTTTACAGAGAACACCTTTGTATATTTTTTAATGCTTACAGGGTTATATCCTATTTTCTTTTGTCTCTCATTCTTTTGCATATTTTGGAGTTTGACAGCTGAACTACGCCATTTAATTTGCATATGCAACAAAAGTCAGACGCATGATTTTATTTAATAAATTGTGATTAATTGGTTAATATTAACGTTATAAAGAAAGTTATAGCTCATCGAGTAAAGTGTAAAGTGAAGGAGAATATAAAAATATATTGCTGATGTAGCTGCTTTAAGGAGAATAGGAGTGATAAATTTACGCTAATTTCCGAATTTTACAAAAAAGGGCATATTTCAAACCCAATTTGTAAATAAATTAGTGACCCAAAATTACAATAGTGGATGTTAAAATAATGGGTAGACCCTTGGCTACAAGTGTGTGCAATTTTTTGGATCGGGTCACCCCTTTGGACGCAATACCCCGAAATAGGTGGGCCACTTACTAAACAGTACCCTATATAAGAATTATCGTATTAGCCGTAGGCTATTTGTTAATAAATAAATAACGTAAAATGTATGCCGTCAAGTGCCCAGTCAACAAAACTATCTCGCTTGCGATAGCAAAAGCAAAACTCAAGCGAGATTTTCAAGCGTGTGAAGACGGCCGGTAAGAAGGAAGTTTATTTAGAGCAATACTCAAAAGCTATTTATAGCAAACAAATATTTTAGTTAAAGATGTTGCATTTAAATTTATATATTTATATACTGATTTGCCAATACTGGACTATAAACAAACTACATTTTGTATAAAAATTTATTCCATGTGGCTCCTTTTTTATTTTTCTTTTGTACATGCTTTCGCCCACTTCAGGAATGCCAACTCTGTCAAGGAAAATGTTCCAAAAATAAAAAAAATACCCATTTTCATCGGTTGTCCCCAAGGCATATTATTTAATGTGTCTTGGGTTGTCCCCCAAATGTATTTTCTCTAATTAAAACAGTTTACTATGAAAAAGATAATGCGCTCAAGTTAACATTCACGCGACGCGTATGAGTATGTACGATCTTGTTTTCGCCATTGTTGAAGACAGAACAGGCTTATGGTTGAAATTTACCGCTTCTACTTTTAAACATGCAATACCGTTATGAGAAATATTTATTAGTATTTATAATTTACTGTTCGAGATTTATTATAAAATATCGAATTCCGCCAAAACTTGTGTTGCCGAGTTCGAATTCCACCAAAATGGAGGAGCTCTCGGTAGCTGGCAGCCCTAGTCCGATTTCACGAAGCAAATACGCTCGTCATATTTTTGTCAGTTGAAATGCAACCGTTGGGGTTTTTGCCGGCGATTTTTAAGTGTTTTAGGTCGGTGTTATGCAGAAATTTTGTTTGGCAAACTGCGTGCAATTGTTGTTGCAGCAAACTCGGAGAGAGCGAGTTTGGCGACTCTCACAGCAAACTAATTTTGTTTGGTCAAACTGCAGCAAATTCGGTGTTGTCATATACAAAAATTTTAAATTTTGCGCGTTATGTACATCTGAAATTCTCATTTCGTGTTGGCAATAGCCATGAAAACCATAATGAACGTGCAACCCTGTGCCAAACTCGACATAACCACCTCCGAGCAAACTAAGCAGCCGCCATTTAATTTGGCAAACAAAAGTTTGTCTGCATAACACCGACCTTATATGTATTTTTCGTGAGTGAATTTGTGTGTTTGGCTGTTATTAATTATCGCTGCTCTCTCTTGGATTAAGTGCATTTGCAATAAATTTGTTTGCTGTGTTTCCGCCGCGCTTCGCTTGATGTGCACTGAAAACAGATTGTGTTCATAATTTGCACTCCAATTAATATTTTGCGCACGCACACCTAAATTGCGGAGAAATTTTCCTTAAAATTAAAGAAAACACAATTGTGAAAGTGGCAAAAGAAGTGGTAAAGTAAGAAATAATTAAAAGAAGATAACTAGCAAAGCAGCAGTGACCAAGGCGTATAAACAAGGCAGCAACCTGAAAGTTCGGCAGTAGCAGAGAGAAGTACAACAACAACGCGAAGCAGCAGCTCTGCTTACACGTACAATTCGAATTGACGCAACACGACGTGCTGTTCTTCTTGTCCTTTTATTGTCTGCTTCGCAAGAATATTTTGATTTTGCTGTCATCGACGTTGGCGCCGACGTCTACGTTAACCGAAGTTCGCAGCAGAGACCGGGACGCTTCGAATGTGAACTGTGGTTATTGTTTTTTGCGTGTTGGGTGCGTTGAATCACGCGAGTAGCTGGTAAATTGCAATTATTTGACGGTTTTAACACGTTTTGTTTTCTTTCTTTGCATAACTTTGCGTACTTACAATACAAATAGTGAAGTGTACACCAGAAATTAATTAATATAAAAACCTATATCGATTATAAGCAGCTGCATACTCAAAAGAAGTATAAAGGATTCAAGCGAAGATAAAAATAAAAGCAAAATGTCGGACACAAAATCGGTAAGTTTATCATATTGAAATGATGTTATTTATACTAAAAACTTAGTACATTGCCTCATTAACACACTGGTTCCAGACGCTATACAATTCTTGTTTTGTTCGAGCAGAAGTTATGTGAAATTTTATTTATAAAATCGTTTTCCATACATACATCCATACATATGCGCTGCACACAAACGAAACAGTCATTCAAGGGCGCGGCTGTCGTTGCAGCAGGTCAATCCGACGGCAGCTTGCCTGACTGGCTGGTTTTGGTTGTACATAGTTGCTCTCCTTATTGCCACCATCATGCTAACATAGGCATTTCACGGTGGGGTCTGCATCATTGCCAGCTTGGTTGTTGTGTTGCCCCTTTGACTTTGCGGGCTTGTTAAAAAAAAATGCTGTAAAAACGATTGAATATAAACTTCAACGTAGGATAGTATGCTAATAAAGGCAAATTATATTAGGATGAGGATCTAACATACACTTCGGAATAGACATCCGTCTTATTTAATTCAGCTTTTGCCTGCATACATGTATGTACATACATACATACATACATACATATTTATGCTCAAAGGGATAATTTGTATACACGACAAAACAAATAAAGCCTGGAAAAAAGCACAAATTTGCACCAAGAGGGCAACAAGACCCAGCAAATGTATGTAGGTACATACATATAGTGGTGAGCACATAATTAGAGAGGGTTATCAATTCATCGGATTTTTTTAGCATGTACAAAATTTGCTACCGGATAGTTTTGGACCACGTAAACCGTTTTCGATAATAATTTTTTTATCGGAGGTGTTGCACGCAG